AAGACTCCTGTTCAGAACCCCTTTTATTTGGTTAATAAGAGAGGCCGTATGCGTCGATCTGATGCAGAGGCCGGGGAATACCCCCTTTTCTAAAAAAAAAACTTCATCCTAAACCTCGGCTCATCCATCGATGCCGCAACCTACGATCCGCGTCCTTCATGTTGTCCTTGATTACTCGGTCTTTTCTTCCTCGTAGACTATTTTCAGTACAATCCTCTCAACCGTGCCAAAATATTCGACCGACATAGAGACCGGGAGAGGATTTGTCGGAATGTTCGACTGATGTGTTGGATGGTGAAGAATGGATTAAGAAAATATGCGAGGCCGGGAAGGTCATGGCGTGGTGCAGTGGAGAAGAAAAATGTTTTTGTTAGGCTGGAGCTGTTAGAAATAGGTTTGATATTTGCTTCATGCCCGTAAAGAGATAAAAGAGTATGCTAGTCATTGCATGTCACGAGTATATTCCTAAATGCCCGTGTCTAAGACGTTCCTTACTTTAAGGCTAGTTGCACACATGCAGGGTATGGGCCGCATCTATACCTCTTCACTAGACCGGCAACGTGCCTTGGCGCGAGGGTGCCGGTCCAAACTTCTTGGTCAAGCAAGGAATGCTTAGTCGATAGTAATCCAGGTTTATCATGTGTATTCATATATGATAACAATACAATAGATGTCCTAATAGATGTCCTAACAGTGCCTCTGCTGGGTGCGGTCATATCTTACACAAACCGACCCAAAAAAAATTAGACACCTATAGTGCCTCCGTTTTGATGGGACGTTAACCAAAAGAGGTATAGAAATCAAAGATGTAGTAGATGTCCTAACATCTGGTATTACTCAAAAGAGTTGAAGATGATAGATAGTTATAGCAGTAATGGTCCAATACATCAATGCTTATTACATGTCTCCAGTGCATTTGTTCAATGCTTGTTACATGTCGCTGGTGCATTTGGTCAAAAATATAACATGAGATACCTAAAGCATGGAGATACCAAAAGCAGGCCATAATAGTGGTAGGCCCAGATAACTTACTTACACTGCCTTTATAGTTTATATGGCATAGTAATAAACTACAGTTGACTATTAGATCGATAGCTTTGTCCAACGGCCTTGTAATCCAATTTGCTTCGTGTTGCAATGTATGGATCTGCTGCAGTGTAGAGAAAATTCACCGGCTGACATCACCAAAAGGAGGAGCTCAGATGGGCGTTGGAATTTCTGAGAGTCACTATGGAAGTCTTGGCGCACTCTGAGCAATGTGTCACTCGCTTTTTACTCTGCAAGCACGTCCACACCCCTCCTCCCTAAGGAGCTGCAAAAAGGGAACCACCATACCCGTGTGCATGTATAAATAATTGTAATTTTCTTTTCAAGATAATGTCACATACACAATAAATTTCTCCCTTCCTATGCATATCCTCATCTTAGATAGGATCATAGCTTTCAGTAGCGCATAACACAAGGTAACAACCAATGTAAATAAAGTGCCTTCTCAAAATTTTAAGATTAAAGAATAACTGAATTTAGATATCCTATTGTGGATAATAAAAGATTTGACAAAAATACCAAAGGTTTGCCGGTCCTTCAATGTTTTTAGGTTTTTAATAGACTTCAAATATAGATATAGAAACAAAGATTTGACTGGATGCTACTATAGAAATATAGGCAAATCATTATTATGGACTTGAGAATTGTAGCGATATCACTGGAGATTAAAGTGCCGATGAAAGAATGTAACCAGCACCGAGGTTCCAAATGTGACTGCCAATCGAGTTACTCATTTGACATTCATGTTGGCTCCAGGATGATCTACATGTACTAGTCATCAGTTCCCAACTGCTACCAAATCTGATGCTGAAAAGGTTTTATACTTTATACTACAGCTATCCACATAAGAATGCCAACCAATGCATATGACTACTTTTTGTTGTTAAAGAGGTGCATCCGGCAGCAAAAGAAAACAATGAATGGCATGTAATTACCTGTAGCATAGAAATTTTGGAAGGTATGATACACGGTGATATCCCTGGCCCTGCCACTGTTGCAATTATCTTTGTACTCCCTCCGTCCGGAAAAACTTGTCATCAAAATGGATGAAAGGGGATGTATCTAGACGTATTTTACTTCTACATACATCTCTTTTTATCCATTTTGGTGACAAGTATTGTCGGACGGAGGGAGTAATACCTGATGACACCTAGCTCACGCTGTGACATATCTAGCTTCCTCATTGCAGCTACCAACGTCTAGTCCAGGTCAGACGCAGGGCGTTGATGCGGAAGCTGCATGCTGGAGATATAGGATCCAGAGCACCTTCTCCCTCGGCATGGCCAGGGACCTCAAGCTTTACCTCGCTCTCGAGCAATGGCAAGGTGCACTTCCTGTTCTTCCTGAAGACGAGGTATAGGATCGCGGCGATGTATATGAGCATGCCAAGGAACCCAAATATTCCAGTGAATACTCAGGAAACGGTGGATAGCCTGCTGTGGAGGAGCAGCATGTCAAAGCTTGTTATCAGGACGTAGATGTTGATGACCATGATGAAAGAGCCGATAGCCCATGTTAGCATGGAAATCTGCATCGCAATGGAAATTAAATGCATTGTAGTGAGTAATTCGATCGCTGCAAGATCATTGTGCGTATCCAACTATGCGATATAGACGACTTACGAATCTTGAGAGTGTGTGCGGCTCCATCTTTGTTTTGCTGCTGGTGAATTTAAGGAGTGGAACTAGAGCAAAAGAAATTCGAATGACGGTATCATCTGCATATAAGAGCGAGGAATTAATTAAAGGTACACTTAGGAAGCAAGCAATGTTACTTCCATGTGCAAGAAGTAAAGATTATCAGCAGCATGATGGTAAAAACAGAGTTTCGGTGATTACCGAAGCAGTGATAATCAACTGCCCAGCTGCTGAGGAACCACCAATTAGTGGCACAATCAGACTAGGCAAAACTGCCAAGGACCTAGTTAGAAGGTTTCGTAACCAGGACACCATCCGAAGATCCAGAAACCCCTGGAGTAAGAAAAGGAGCAAAGGTCAACCTCTATTAGATGACAATTCATACAACTGGAATATGATCTTTTTCATTTATACAGGTAAAAGAAATGAAGAAAAAAGTAAGGCAATCTCACTCATATTTGCACCAAGCTTACTTCCATCTCTACCCATTTTATCCACAATCTAGTTTAGCTTGATTAAGATTGCACTACCAATGGTAGATCCCCATGTGTTTCTTACTTTCCTGCACATTTCATTCACAATTTCAGTAAACAAGAAAACATGGAACGGCAATACCAGCATACATTCAGAACATAATGTTCCTTTTCTAATGATTATTTTCAACATCAAACCTACATAAAGCTCAAAAGGATACTAAATGCCATTAACAATCACACGACATGGTTAGTTTGTTAACTCTGTGGTCAACATTAGTGGTATATTTTGAGTCTTCATGCATTAGAACAAGATATGGTGTGCCAATAAACTTTGCAGTTTGCAACATATGACTGAAAATAAAGAATAGTAATAGAAGAGATGCAAACCCTGCATGACATATTGTCCTGCATAAGTTCCTGTAATCGTAGAAATCTGGCCAGATGCCAACAAGGCAATAGCTCCAATTCCCGAGGACATTCTACAACAACATTGACTGGAGTTGGACCATGAAGACACCACAAGATGTCCTTACAAACGTCTCATTGTTTTCCTCCTGCCTGCAGACCGAAGAGGAAGAAGCTTGTCCAGTTCAATACTTCTTCCCAGAACCCATATTTTGGGAACTGAACCTGCGTCGACGGACAATCATGACATGGAGTCGGCGCAAGAAAATACTGATCCACAGCTAATGGACACTAATGATGTGGGTCCCATGCAAGAGGACTTGCTGAACGAAATATACCAAAACACAGATGATGCAAGTCATACTATACCTTGATGAACCTGACATAGCTGTTGTTAGCTCTAAGTAAACACACGTGTATGATCGATATCATTCATCTCGTCCATGAGAATAAATATAAGTTTCCTAAAAAAGCACAGAAGTTTATGGACTTTGTTGTTCAGCATTAATGTTTTGCCGACCTGTGCTTCTGTCTTATCATAGATGCTGCTGTAGGAACCTGGAATAGGACCAGGACCTGGCGAGGGAGGCGCTGAAGAACATGTGCTTGCAAGAGAGGCGGAGAAGCATCAAGATGGAGGTGAGAGTGGTGGAAGCAAGCCAAGCAAAGTTAAGCTGACAGAGGACCAGATGGCGCACATGACATTATAGATGAACTCATCAGAAGCATCTTAATAGAAGAAATTACCTAACTTATGCACTCATACAGAGAAGAGCTAGTACTCTCAGATAACATAACCTGGCAGCCAATCTCCCAACACAAACATCAGGACGAGTTTACATACATACATACGACTCTCGATACAGACATATCAAACTACATCAGCACCATCTTGAACATCCGCCATCCAACTCCAGGTGTATGGCCCAAGCAAGACCAGAGCAACTAGAGAGCAAGCTCAGATCTGCAGACATGTATTGAGTTAGAAACGCGAAGCTGCCACAGCTGATACAATGGAAATCTTTCCGATCCCAAGTTCTGAAGAAGCAGGCATGCGCTAATCCCAGGGCCTTAACTGAACAGAAGTTTGGAAGCAATATACATAAAAATTAGCAGACCATAAACAGGTGAACCCTCTGTTCTTGGAAACAGAACATGGTAAATAAGGAGTGCTCATAAATAGAGGACTAAGAGCCTTCAAACATCAATTTACAGGCTATGCAAGCGCGATAGCCATTTTCTCTCCTAAGATATAATTGTTAAACATACATGCAAAATTAAACAATGAATTAGCTTCCTCACCTAGCTAGTTTGACAAGGCAATCAAGCACAATCATAGCACAATAACTAAGTACACATAAACATGTGAGTAGAACAAGCAAATTGTGCGGCCAATGACAACCAAAAAAATAATATGATTAGGCTTACCAGTTGATCAAATAGCTGGTTCTGATAACAGCCGTGGGAAGCTAAAGTAGGGGAGAACACGTTTGCGCTTGAAGAAGCTCTCCATCTTTGTACAGACCTTGGTAATTTCATAAGTCTTGATGTCCATCGAGTAACAATCGAGATTCTTAAACCCACTGCCAAGTGGAGCGCCTTGCAAGAACAAGAGCCCCTCGGCCGCACCCACTGTGGAAATGGTACATTCATGATACTGCTCAGGTAGCTGTACGATCTTCTCCAGATTCCATTCATGAGAATTATCCTGCAGAGAGGTATGGTGGAGGGCAAAGGACCCGTTTTGACGGATTAAAGAAAACATCTCAATGACTCCTTCCCTACCAACAACAACTGCATTTCGACGCGAGTCGGTAAAGAACTCAATGGTTGGATCAGCATCTCTGAGCTGCAGATGGTACCCGGTGAGAATATTGACGGTTGAAAACCTCAAAGTGCGCGTGTCCAGCACCCTCAAATCATCATCTAACTCCCAAGGTTGCGACCAGTAGAAGCAGCCACGCACACAGTCAAAACAGGACGTGTGTTCCAAAACAGGTGCGAAGGGAGAATCGACCATAGACCATTGTTCACTATCACTAGCTGTGGATGAAAAGACAAAGAGGAGGAGCTTTGTCTGGTATCTTGCAAAGCATATCACCTTGAAGGGCTCCTCCTCGCCGTCGTCACCGGTGGCAGGAGCGAGCACGGGATCGAATGCCAAAAGGCGATCCCGCGGCTGGGCGGCGAGGTCCTCCGGTATGGTTGGAAGCAGCACGTATCTGCGGGATAAGGGATGGCAGACGGCGAGGTGGAACCTGGCGGTGTTGCGTCGCTCCCGTTTGGTCCACGCGAGGCAGGGACCATCCTCGCCGTCACCGAGCTCCTCAGAGTCTTCTTCGGAGTCGTCGTCTTCCAAGAGAATGCTTTCTTCGGAGTCGGCTTCAGAGTCGAGGGAGATCCAATCGAGGAGGACGCGGCCGTCGCGGACGTCGCGGGGGCGCCAGCGGGACGTCCGGCGACGGCGCGGAGGACGCCCGGCGGCTTCGGCATCCGGCGGGGCACTGGAGGAGGAGGAAGAAGCGACGGCCGGGACCGGGACGAAGGATAAATCGGCGGCGCAGGGGGCGAGGGCGCTGGCGAGCTCGGCGGATGGGTGCGGCGCCTGGGCGGGGTGGAATCCCACCGCGTCCATGAAGCCGAGGAGGGGAGGCCGGTGCAGCCCGCGGAAGCGGCGGCGAAAGGCGCGGCCTTTAATGACGCGGCGGAAGGTGGTGCATGCGGCGGAGGCGAGGCCGAGCGCGTTGAGGGTGGGCAGGCGGAGGAGGATCTCCTCCAGGAGCTCGTCGGGGACGGGGATGGAGGCCGGCGGCCGCGTTGGAGGAAGGGGATTGAGAATTACGGTTGGGGATAAGTCTTCGGCTGGGAGCGATAGTGACTAGTGAGTGGGAGAGTGACTTTTTTTTTTTTGTGAATGATAGAGACGGGTCGGGAAGGACTCACCACTTGGACGGTGAGTCCTCCTCCATGACACTTTGGTGGCAGACTCATTGAAGATGAAACATTGCCTCCCTTTTCGCCCCTTGCTCGCAAGGTTGAACAACAGCCACCCGTCGGCCATCGGATACAGAGGTGTGGTGGAGACGGCCGGCAGCCAAGCGTTGTGGCTGGCACCGTAGCCACTCCCAGCAGCCATGGGTTCGGGCACGAACCCGATCTAGACCTCCATCTCCTCCCCGTTTCAACTACACCACATCGATGGCCTTCGATGCGAGAAAGAGAAAGGACTACCTCAAGAGCAGTTATCCAAGCGAACTTATTTGTAGAGTTACCGACGATGAGCTCCACAGTAGCAGCTGGCTTCCTATCAGCGGCCACATGATCTCCCCGAGGAGGTCGCCATCCATCGAGGGTACTAGCGAGCGGCGGCGATGGCTCATCGTGATCGTGCCAGGGCTACTCGCAGGTGAGGCTCTTATCAACCGGCCGACAAACACCCATTTGGGCCCGGAAGCGGTGAGGAAAGAAGATGACGTGAAGCCACCTCACCTTTTTTCATTTGTTTGTAAGACTTATGTTCTGAACCTCTTTATTTCATTAATAAGAGAGGCCGTATGCATCGATCTGATGCAGAGGCCGGGGTAAACCCCCTTTTCCAAAAAAAAAATAAAAAAAAATTGTTCCCACTAAAAAAATGCAACCCACCTCGATCCCCAATTCCCATGGTTGCATCGGCGCCGACCGAGCCACTAGTCCCGCGACTGTCCCTCCATGCCGCCATCCTCCTCCACCAACACCGCCCCCACCGTTGGCCCCCTACAAGCCGAGGCAGCCGCCCAAGCTGACGTCGGCGGAGAGGGAGTAGGCGCCACCGGATGATGGAGGCAAGAAGAAGAGGAAGGAGACGGCGACGCGGGCCAAGCTCGCGCTAGACCCCGCAGCCTTGGCTTCGTCCTCTGCTACATCCCCGACCTTCAAACTCCACGCCTGGCCTGACAACAAGGTGCATATGCTTGCCATCGAGGACGATCATTCCTCTTCGATTAGGTGATCGATCTGTAGGCACATTTTTCTATTACTTGCTGATGGTGCTCTTGTAGTGAAATCAAGCCACCTAATAAAATATGCAAAAAGACAAGCGGAAAATAGAGGCCCTGCTAGAATTTAGAGTAGTTTACTGCATATATGGCATGGCAAGTCAAATATTCAGAGATATGCTTGTAGCTTGTGTGTGCAGTTAGGTGATCTATTCTTGTAGATGCTGGTCGCCGCACTTTCGCGTTATACATTATAGTTGTATTGGCATGATCTGTTCAATTCCTGCAAGTCAACATCTCTGGATTTATTTGCAAAGTAGTACATCTCTGGATTTATTCAGAACTGCATGTTTCGCGTCAAAATTCAAAATATGAACACAGATTAGAACCTGCCTACTATTGCTCAAATTACACACGTGCTTCTTCTGACCGCTTTCCACTGCCTAATTTGGAGTTTGTGTCTTGCTGTCAGCTGGGGGACCTTGGCAATCTTCTCAAGCTTTACGTGGACCGGCACCCTCACTTCATCCCTTATACTCCCTTTGTAAAGAAATATAAGAGCATTTAGATCACTAAAGTACTCGTTAGAGCAGTTTGTGCGCAAGGTTGAGAAAAGTGGGGCCAGTAGCCGTGTTAGGGTAAGCTTCCTTCCTCCTTTGAGGGGTTCCTTCCATTTTCTTATGTGTGATTGATCAGTCTTTATAGTATGGTCAACTGAACTGAAACATTGTTCTTATTTCTTTCAGAGGCGCATTTCTGAACAGAAAAATTGTCATATTTTATTTATTTCAGAGATGTATTTCTGAACTGGCATGAGGTTTGCCAGAGGGGGAGATCCTACATATCTGCATGAACCAGAGGGAGAACATGGTCTGAGCTTTGTTTTCTTTACAGTGCACACGTAAACAAATCTTTAGGCATTTAATATAGAAGCGCACGTTCCTGGACCCCTAATCTGTATTTCAGACATTGCAATGGTAGCAATTGTTCATTATTATCTGTTGCAGATGCAACCACACATCAAGAACTATCATGTCATGAAGTTTGTGTAAGAAGATATAGATCCACCTGTGGTGGAAAGTAACAACATGGACCCCATGCAAGAGTATTTAATGGCCGAAATCTACCAAAACACAGCTGACGTAATTCATACTGCACCTTGATTAACTTGACATAGCCGGCTGTAAGTAGAGATGCATGTATGTATGATGTCATTCATCTTCATCTCATCCATGAAACAAAATGGAAGATGCCTAAAAGACCGTGCGTAGACATTCTGTGCACATTGTTTGGACTTTGTAGGTTACAATGAATGTTTTGCGGACCAGTGATGCTCTGTTCACAGAAGAGTAAATGGGAACCAGACCTACTGAGGTTGGGGCTGACGGAGGATGCTAACCGGCTCAAGGCTTTGAAAGGGCGGCAGCAGCACGCGCTCGGAGTCCCAGACGATCGCAGGCGGCTACTGAAACTACCATGTAGGGGCATGCAGGATCCAAAGCCACTTTGCCATGGATGTTAGGCTGCGCTTTCTTGAACAAGAGCTGGAAAACGGATGAAGCATTTTTGTTCTCCTAGATGAAGTTGGTGATTTCTGTTTTGTTTGCTACAGGAGTTGCTGGAAGCTGGTTGTTAGACTATGTATAGCTTCTATACTTATGTACGTATTGTAACACAACCATTATATATAATGAGATAAGCCACCCCTAGAGGGTTGTGCTGGTTCCCCAAAACTTATTGTCTTACACTGGTGCAGGTTTTCACCTTTACGGCCTGCTGTTGCTCTTGATTGCGGCGTGTTACAGACTGTAAGTTACACAGTACAGCATGAAAAACAAGATGCTGGTGTGATATACTCTGGAATTTCTTGTTACCCAAGGAGACACCAATACTGAATGCAAATGCAATCATTTTCTTGTTTTTTACTCGGGATTACCGCATGCCGGCTGGCCTCATTGCGGACGAGATCGTCTGGATGTGCAGGACAATGGGAGAGAGCACCTTACCCACCGGGGCATGCTCCGGATCCACCAGTATGGGCTTCATCCTCAATTCCTCATCATCCAGTATCTTAGAGGTTGCGCTTCCACGGCCATGAGACATATCCGCTCCACAAAATCTTTCACGCCGGCACACCTCGATTGGACCGGCGACACCCCAACCGTAATCTCGGGAGGTCGGGGCCTCGTAGGGCCGCCGTGCACCCCCACAGCCGGGCCATTGACTAATGTCCCATCGTCCCGATGTTCTCTGCCATGCGCGCAAAAGTAGGATCACGACCGATCACCACCAATGGTGGGCAGCAATGCAGAGTCGAACAACGGTGGACACCACGTCCGTGCAGCTCTGATCTACCGAGAGAGGAGGATCAGCTGAGGGAACCAGCAAGGAGAATCAACAACTTGATGGCGATTCCAAACGAAAATCTCCCCCTAGTAACCGCCAATCCTTCTATGCTTGACAGAATATACCAAATGCTAGTATACATTATTAAATTATTTGTAAAATTTATTTTATAAAACGATATTTACTGCTTATTGTAAATAACAGAGGGCATTTGGTCTAGTGGTAGGATTCTCGCTTAGGGTGCGAGAGGTCCCGAGTTCAATTCTCGGAATGCCCCTCTTTTTCTTTTTTTAAACGTTTTCTTTTTACCGTTTTAACATGTACTATATGTAGTAGAACTACTTTCATGTAGCCACCGAAGACTAGATGGCATGAAAACCAATCGATCTATAACAGAGGGATACAATACAATGCTGTTCACAGGCTTACAATAGATGGATACAAGCAGTATTTGTTAAGAGAGCAAGATTGACAGAGCAAAAAAGGACATCAAATAAGCAATAAAGTGCCAATCAGGTCACTCAGCATATAACCTTCTCGTTGGTTCAAACTCAGCGTTCCACTTCAATTTTCAACTGCCGTAAATGTATATGTATATAATGTATTATAATGTACATGTAAATGTATATACTGATAGTACTCCAGCACAATTTGTGCAAGATAAAAATATGAGCTGAAAATATGGCTGAAAGCAAATCACTATTACAGCCTTAAGAGTTATAGCGATATCGAAGGATATTAAAGTTCCGATGAAAATGAAACTATAGCACCGAGGTTCCAAATGTGATTGCCAATCAAGTCACTCATTTGACATTTAAGTTGGCTCAAGGATGATCAACATGTACTAGTCAGAAGGATTTTACTCTTGAAGATATCAACTCATACGCATGTTGCCAAATCTGATGCTGAAATGATTTATCCATATGACTAGTGGTTGTTGTCACAGAATTGCGTCAGGCAGCAAAAGAAAACAATAAAAGGCATGCTATTACCTGTAGCATAGAAATTTGGAAATGCATGATACATGGTATATTCCTGGCCCTGCCACTGTTGCAAAGTCTCTTAAACGTCAGTTATTGGAGATGGACCATGAACACAACACAAGCTTACAAGCGTCACATTGTTTTCCTTGTGGAACCGCACTAAAGCCGGAGACTTCCTCCTGCGTGCTGCCCCAAAAGGAGGAAGCTTATCCAGTTCAATACTTCTTCCCAGAATATTTTGGGGGACTGAACACGGAAGAACAATCATGACACTGAATTGGTGCAAGAAGATATAGATCCATCGCTAGCGGAGGTAGATCCTGTTGTAG